TGAGAAAGGCACTCCTTCTGGGGGCTCGTCATCCAAGTCATCATCCAAGCGGCTAAGCAAGAGCTTCAAGAGCAAGGAATTTGAGTTCAGGAGAGAAGAAAAGCAAAAAGAAGAGGTGGTGGAATAAGAATTCTGACGAATTGTTTAATTCCTACCATCTGGTATGGTGAAGCTCTGTATTATTTCCAATGTCTTTTTTTTTCTTTTTTTTTTTTTTTTTTGAGACAGGATCTCGCTATGTGGTTCAGGCTGGTCTTGGGCTCACTTTGTAGCCCAGGCTGGTCTTGAACTCGCAATGATCCTCCTACGTCAGCCTCCCGAATGCTAGGATTACAGGCGTGCGCCACCACACCTGGCTCATACAATGTCTTTTTTTTGAGATAGGGTCTTACTATATAGTCCAGGCCAGCCTTGAACTCACAGTGAGCCTCCTGCCTCAGTCTCCTGAGCGCTGGGGTTGTAGGTGCACCACAAGCACCACCACACCCAGCGTGAGACAGGAACTTGATAGGTTGCTAAGTTTCCCAGGCTGGGCTCAAAACTTGTGATCCAGCTGTTTTGCCCTCTCTGAGCACTGGGATTGAGCAGTGTATGCCACCATGCTGGCTGCTACTACCATTCCTATGATTGTTATTATTAGCAGACTTGGAGCACTCTGTTTCCGGTCTATCTTCTGCCCCAAGGTTGAAGGAAAAGCCTCTGGGCTGGGCGGCAGCCTTCCTGTCCAGTCCTTCCCGGCCCTCTTCCCCGAGCTGCCTTGGAGCTCCCCCTGGTGGGCAGGGGGCCTCAGTGAGCAGTTGAAAGGGGTTTGCAGCCCCCCGCTGACCCCTCACTGTCCCCCTAGCCGGATGACATTGGCCAGTCACCCATCGTCTCCATGCCAGACGGAGACAAGGTGGACCTCGAGGCCTTCAGCGAGTTTACCAAGATCATCACTCCGGCCATCACCCGTGTGGTGGACTTTGCCAAAAAACTGCCCATGTTCTCCGAGGTGAGTGGCAGGCGGGAGGAGACAGACATGACGCCGTGCGGAGGGGCACCCAGCGCCCCAGGGCATACCTCTGAGGTTCTCTGGACCGGAACCCGTAGGTGCAGAATAACACAGTGTACAGCCCCAACCTAGGACCCCCTGTTCCCTACACCCACCTCCCCTTGAGTCTACCTGACCATCCAGAGCCCTGGAGGTCGGCTCCCTTGTACCTGGGACCTGCCCTGAGTCACCTGGATCCCCCATACCACGGGGAGGTACTGTGATCACGAAATTTCTGTGGCCCACGGTCGCGGGACCAGAGGGAGGCCCCAGCAAGGGGTTTGGTCAGGCCCTGCTGAGTGGTCCCCGGCCCTGCCTCCCATAGCTGCCTTGTGAAGACCAGATCATCCTCCTGAAGGGGTGCTGCATGGAGATCATGTCCCTGCGGGCGGCTGTGCGCTATGACCCTGAGAGTGACACCCTGACATTGAGTGGGGAGATGGCTGTCAAGCGGGAGCAGCTCAAGAATGGCGGCCTGGGTGTGGTCTCCGACGCCATCTTTGAACTGGGCAAGTCACTCTCTGCCTTTAACCTGGATGACACGGAAGTGGCTCTGCTGCAGGCTGTGCTGCTAATGTCAACAGGTACCTGCCGGTTGGCGAGGGGACCCTGAGGCTTATGGGGCCCCCAAGAGCTTGGCTGGACCGTTGCTGTCCCTCTTCCCAAGTGCTACAGATTCCGTGTCCCCTCAACCCACTTCTCGGTTCCATCCCCTCTTCCCAGGCTTTCTGTCACCCGGGCTACTCCTAGCCCCGCCTCTGGCCCCCAGACCCATCCCCTGCTGTTTCTCAGTATTTTATTTTTGTACCGGGAATCGAACTCAGGACCTTGCACTTGCCAGGCAAGCGCCTGTGCCACTGAGCTATACCCCCGGCCCTGCCTGCTCTGTTTCTTACCCTGTCTCTGCCCTGTTTCCTCTCTGTCCCCATCCTCTGTCACCCAAAGGCCCCTTCGTCCGTCTCCCTCCACTTTGTTCCTATCCACCCTCTCTCCACACCTCCCTGACCTCCAACCCCTTGTTTTTTGGGACAGGAAGTTGGGATGGGGTCTCGCTATGTAGTCCGGCCTGCCCCCGAACTCACTATGTAGTGCAGCCTGGCATTGAACTTGCAGTGATCCTCTTGCTTCAGCCTCCTAGGTGCTGGGATTAACAAGTGTGTGCCACCACACCCAACCCTGATCCCAGCCCTTCCCTCTCTCGTGACTTCACCCCACGCATCATGCCACCGCTTCCCGGCCCTCCCCGCACACCCCTCACGCCCCCCTGCCTTCCCCGCAGACCGCTCGGGCCTGCTGTGCGTGGACAAGATTGAGAAGAGTCAGGAGGCATACCTGCTGGCGTTCGAGCACTACGTCAACCACCGCAAACACAACATTCCGCACTTCTGGCCCAAGCTGCTGATGAAGGTGACTGACCTCCGCATGATTGGGGCCTGCCACGCCAGCCGCTTCCTCCACATGAAAGTCGAGTGCCCCACCGAGCTCTTCCCCCCTCTCTTCCTGGAGGTCTTTGAGGATCAGGAAGTCTAAAGCCTCAGGCGGCCAGAGGGTGTGCGGAGCTGGCGGGGAGGAGCCCGGAGAGGAGGGGCCGAGCTGGGGGCCAGGGAGACCCCCGCCTCCTCTCTCCTCCCTCTCATTCTTGGATAGATGCAGCTCCCACACACACCCCGCACTGCCCAGGTCCCCCAGAACCTCCAGCCCTGGGACAGGGCACACAGATGAACTTGCTATGAAAGGATAGTGTGGGAGGCTGGGACCTGGTCCCGCAGTTCCTGGGAGCCCGTCCTGTGAGAAGTGAGGGAAGGTACGGGACAAGCCAGAGCCACCGTGACCGTAGGGAAAGGAGGAGTGAGGCTGGGGACTGTGCAGTTGCTCCCCCTACACACGCAGGAGAGAGCCCCAGTGGTTCCTTGGCCCGAAGCTTCCCCTCCAGGCTCAGGGCCTCCGTTTGCCCGGATGCCTGGGCGTAAAGGACGGCTTGGGCTGGGCTTTGCTCCTCCACCGGAGGTTAAAGATGATAGTCATCCTAACTGCACTTTGGAAACCAAGTGAGGGGAGAAGATAAATGAAGAAAAACTAGACAGAGAGAAAAAGACAAACGAGAGCAAGCGATAGAGAGAGATGATATTAAGTTATTAACCAAGGCTGGCCAGAGGGGAAGGACCTGTCCTCCCCTCCCCATGCACTTTGAGAGCTGCCCCCCCCCCAGATCCGAGAGAGATGCCCTGATACCCCCGGGGTACGGCTGACCATCAGAGCTGTGAGTCAACACAACAGGGTCCTGGCCACCCCCTTGCCTTGCCCCGCCCTCTGTGCCCCTTTGGCACCCCCACCCCCTCCTTCTCTGCTCTCTGCCACTCGTGCCCGCTGAGTTCCATCTACCTCTCACGCTGGATGCCAGCTGGCCCCTCACCAGCCTGCCCTGCTGCCCACACAGCTCCCCGTTTCAAGTGCCCAGCCCCAGGGGCCCCTCCCTGGCCCCCTCGCCCCCTGCCTTGGCACCCACACAGGAAGAACGGTGGCCCGGCCCTTTCCCAGCTCATAGCCTGCAGTATTAGCTACAGTCCAGATGCCGCTGGGGGGCCGTGCGTGAGCGGCTCCCAGCGCTTGTCCCCCGCGGGGTGCTCCCTGCGCCCTGCCCTCCTCACGGGCTCCCTCTGACCCCGTCCTCTTCCCCTCCATACACTAGCCCAGCCTGGGGGGCCCCGCAAGGAAGAGGGGTGTTTCCAGCCCTGCACTGGGGCCCGGGGAGGGGCAGTGGGCGCTCCTCCTGCTTTCTTCGAAGCTCTTTAGGCCGGCTGCCACTCTGTCCCGCCGGAACCTCTTCCCCTCTCTTTGCTCTAATTCAGGGACTTTGGCTTGAGCCCCCCAGCCTCCTGGTGAGGAGCGCTCTGTTGGTCTGCACTTGGGGGAGCTGCCCTCCTCCTCTCCTCCCTCTGGCCAAAGCCCACTCCTCTGGGGAGACCGGGAGGGAGGGGGAAGTAGGGGAACAGAGCAGACCAGAGGGCCTTGGGCTCAGGGCTGCATGTGTCGGCAGGGATGGATGGGTGGACGCAGATGCCCCCGGAAGCCATGGGGAACGGGGCGGGGGCGGGGGAGGGGTGTCAGGGCTTCCTGCGCTTTGCACTATTGGGGCACAAATGTCTTAAGCAGTGGGGAACCTGCCACTCCACTCTGACCCTCAGCCTGCCACAGCCCCCCCTACACACACACACACACACACACACACACACACACACACACACACGGAAGGCAATGCCATGCCACCAGCCTGGGCAGTGTCCTCCCTTCCCTCCCTGCCAGGTGTTCCAGCCCGGCCAGGGCCTGGGGAGCATCATGTCACCTGTGCATGTGCCTGCCCCGCCCTCTGGGGCCAGCCACCTTGCCCTCTTGCCTGTTTCTCCTCTCTCTCTCCCGGGGCACTGATCCTGTATCCTCTAGTCCATGGGCAAAGCTCACCCCGTCCTCCACGCCCAGGGGCCCAGCGGCGTTCCTGACCTGTCTGCTGTGTGTCCCATCCCCCCCCCACCTCCCGTCCCTAGCCATGGACATGCTGGCCTCTTAGGCACTTGGGAATCCCTGTCTCCCCAGTCACAGGAGCTGTGACCCCCGCCCCCGCCCTCCCCCCAGCGATGCGGGGTGTATGTGTGCGTTTCTCTGTGTGAATGTGTGCGTGAGTACACGGGTTGGGGGCGCCAGGACTCAGGAGTGCCCCGCACCTGCTCCTGCGAGGCAGCTGTCCCAGCCCCTGCTGCGGAGTGAGGGACAGGGCCCTCTCCTGGGGGCCATTGGTGCTAAGGAGGGGGATGGCCTTGCAGCGGGTGCTTCGCACGCCTCCTCCAGTGTTGGCCCGGGGCACTAGGGCAGGCAGGGCGGGCGGCAGGTGCGGTGTTGCTGGGAGGACTGGGCGCTGGGAAGAGGTTGAGGGGCCAGGCCAGGACCACTACCCCGCCCCCACCACCCACCTCTCCATCTCAGTATTGCCCCTCCCATCACTTATAACACACATACCTCATCCAGCTCCTCCCTGCTAGGACTTGGGGAGGGTGGGGGAGGAGGAGCCCCTTCCCCTTTCCTGGGTGGCGCGGGTCTGCAGGGCTGGGAGAGGGCAGGACCGGTGACATGGACACCGTCCATAAGGAGGACAGGACTTCCTGCCCTGGGGACTCCTGGGTGGGGGATGGGGACACTGCCCAGAGGCGCTACTGAATGTATGAGAAGCCGGTGCTGGGGTGGGGGGAGGGGGGCGTGGCCAGAAACGGGGAAGGGGGTCGGTGGGTCCCTTCCCTGGGGCGGGGGGCTGGTAGGGGTGACTTGAGGGGCTCCTACTCCTGCCCCACGTTGACAATCAGTATGTCTGTTATGTGCGATTTTTCACCCCGTTTGTTTTGGGTCAGGATTTTAAAGAAAGATATTTTTATGGTAATTGTTGCTCGTCTATTTTACTATATATTTATGTAATAAATATATGATGAAAATACCCCCCTCGGGCCCCCCCTTAGATTTGTGTGCTGTTTCCCTACAGCCTCCCCTCTGCTGGCCGAGTTCCCGCCCCTCAAACTGACCAGATGGAGAGGTGTCCCCCGCCCCCCAGACTTGGCAATAGTTCCACCCCACCCCCCCAAACAGCACACACCACAGAAGCCAGCTCAGCTGTGAACTATTGGATTTGAGACAGGCACAGAGCAAATCCGAGAGGGGGCGGAGTCGGGGGGGGGGGGAGAGCCAGAGTGGTTTAAATAGGGGAGGACGGGAAGCTTGGCGATTGGGGTGGAAGGGGAGCAGGTATTTACAAGAAGGCTCAGGGGGCCAGAGGCTCATCTTGGAATATTTTATAACAATATAAATAAGATTCTGGTTTGCTTTTCCTTTTCGTCTCGTAAAGGAGAGAGAAGTGCAGAGTTCGATTCTGTACAAGGGGGCAGCGGCGGAAGGCCGGCCGGGCGGGTCACTGGGCGTCCACCCGGAAGGACAGCAGCTTCTCGGAATGCATGTTGTTCAGGGTCCGCAGGTCCGGCAGCTTGAGCAGCAGCTTGGTGAAGCGGGAAGTCTCCGAGGGCCGGTTCTTCAGCACCAGAGCCCGAAGAGCCCGCAGCAGCGTCTCCTGGAGGTGCTCCACCGAAGCGGAGTCCTCCATGCCCGAGCGGTCTGTGGGGAGGACGACAGCAGTGAGGCAGGCTCCCTGAGCAGCTCTGAGGAGGACCCCGAGGTCTGCGAGGACCCAGCAGGCTCGGCAGCCTCTCCCTGAAGCCCCCCCCCCGCAAGGGGCCTGCAAGATGGAGGAGCCGGGTCACACACCTCTCCTCCTCCCAGGCCACCGCCCCCCTTGCCTCCTCCCTGCACGCAAGGTGGCCGGGCGCCCTCCCCGTTTGCTCCGTAGTCCCCTCTGCCTGGGATGCCTTCCCCGCTCTGCCTGCCTTGTCCTTGGAGGCCCCAACCCAGTGTCACCATCTTCCCCAATTCCCCCAGGCAGAAATAGTTGTCTGTGCTCCTTTGGTTCTTGCTTCTACTGTGACACTTATCTCACTGTTTTATAATTAGTCGGGCATGAGTCTTGTTTCCCAAGCTAGACTGTGTCTCAATCATGTCTGTATCCCCAGTGCCCGGCACGGGGCCTGGCATAGAGTAGGTACTCCATAAAAGGTGTGTTGAATCCAACTGCGTCTGCCTCCTCCCGGCTCAGGCGCGAGCTTCCCTTACCTGCGGAGACCAGCACCACCGCGGTGAAGAGGCCCAGCTCCTCCTCGGTGAGTGCCAGGGAGTTGAGCTTCTCGCTGAAGTCAAACATGGCGCTCAGCAGGTCTCCCATGCCCATGGCGCCCAGCTCCTGCAGGCTGTAGGTGGTGCGGCTCAGGAACATTACCGTCTGGTCCTTCACGTTGAACAGTGAGGCGAAGCGCACCATCAGCACCTGAGGTCGGGGGCAGTGACCCTGGGTAAGGTGGGAGGAGCCGCTGCCAAAGCACCCCACACTTTGCAACAGGGTTTAGCGCTGCTGCCTTAGATTTCTCAGTGCAGGGAGTCACTGATCAGTGATCAGGGCTCCAGGAAGGAAGGGGCGTATCCAACGACTTGGAAGGGGTACTTCTAGAAGGGGGGGGCAGGGTACCACAGGGCACTGTCTTCATGTCATGGGTTGCAACTAGACACCTGCTGAGATAAGTCCAGCTCCCCTGAGCGGGGAGTGCAAGATGATCCGCCCCCATCACATACTGGGGTTCCCAGGCCCTTCAGAGCCTCCGCCCACCACAAGACACGACCCCTTCCATGGGGTTCTTCTAAAGGTCAAGCACAGGCAGCATGAAGGTCACTCACCTCGAAAGTGCCAGCCTTCAGCAGGGTGACCTGGTCATGCTGAGAAAGGTCACGGAAGCCTGGGATGTGTTTGGCAAATTCAACCACCTCCCGCACAGCAGGCGTGAAGCTCATAGAGAAATCCTCCCAGATCTCCTGCACAGTCCGGCCGCTGCGTCCGTGGGGGTACATGTTCATGGGGCACGCCTGGGGACCAAGGGGCGCAGGGGGCCGTCAGGCCGGCTCAGAAGGGTCCCCACAAGGCTGGAGGTGGGTCATCCGTGGAACACAGCACCGGGTGTGAGGTGGAGGTGAGGGGCTCCCGGGCAGCTGTCCGTCTTCCACGTCCCTCCCCTCTACCCCCGTGCCCTCACCAGCAGGACGTTCTTGGAGCTGTCTTGCCGAGGACCATTGGCAGGAACCTCGCCTTCTGGGGCTGCATACACGTGGGTGGGGCAGAGACGGTGCCCGTTGCTGTTGGGCTGGTGGCAGCTGTGGTGGGCAGGGCCAGGCGGCCAGGTGGGAGGGTAGGAGGAAGGGCCCTGGCGTAGACCATTCAGGGCTTCGTTGTGATGCTGGGCGGCCGAGGCACTGTTGTCATTAGGGACAGGAGGGCAGCGCTGACTCTCCCAGCGATTGGGGGTGGTGCCCGCAGGACTACCCGACACATGGTTGGCGTTGAAGTTCCCTGGTGAGGTTCCCAGCTTGTCATGGGCATAGGTGAAGATCTCACGATGGGCCCGGGCCACCTGGGATATCACATCCTCCACAGTGGGTTCGGGGCTGGGGGATCTGGGCGGCGTGAGCTGCTGGGGGAACTGGGAGAAGCCCACCAGGGGGGAAGGGGCCGGAGCGGGAGGCGGCGAGGGGCCCACGGGGCCGGAGGCGGGGTGCTGGGTGGGCGAGTTCTCCAGCGGGCACTGGCTGCTCAACTGGTTGTTGGCCAGGTTCATGGCACTCTGCATCTCTGCCAGCATGCGCTGCTTCTCTCGTTTGGGGATGCGCCCAAAACGCACGGCTGCGACAGGGTGAGAACCACGTCAGGAAGTGCGCAAGCACGCCCGCAGGCACAGGCGTCCCTTCCTTCCTTCTTCAAAGGGGCAAGACGCTGATGGCCTGGGGGTGGGCGGCCCACTGAAGCCAGCAAGGCCACACCCATGCGGAGGGTTTCCAAGTAGGACGGCCAGTGGGAGGGGCCCAGAGGGTCCGACCAATGGGAGACAAGGATTTTTTACCCACGAGGATAACACGTGGGCATCCGCGGGCAAAGGAGATTCGGGCACCCTGTGTCTCAGCTTGGGACCGTTTTTTAAAGCCAGGATGAAGGCAAATGCTGGGTGGAAGGGCGAGGAGGACGAAGGGCTGCCTCACCGTCTCGAGACATGCCCACAGAGAGACACTTCTTGAAACGACACTGCTGGCAGCGGTTCCGGTTGATGCGGACGATGGAGCAGTTCTCGTTTTTCAGACACCTTTTGTACTGGATGTTCTGCTGGATGCTGCGACGGAAGAAACCCTGGAGGGGAGGGGAGGAGAGGGAGGGCAGGAGAGGGGGCCAGTGAGCACCTATAGACAGCCTGGCCATGTCCCGGGTGGAGGTCGCCCCCTCTGCCCTCGCCCCGCGTCTCACCTTGCAGCCCTCACAGGCATGCACACCGTAATGGAAGCCAGAGGCCACGTCCCCGCACACTTTACACAGGAGCACCATGCCGTTGAGCTCTGTGGGAGGACACGGCAGAGGCGGGGAGGCCTGTCTGAGCGCCCTGACATGCGGAGGCTTCCACTGCTGAGACCCCCCCGCTCCCCTGAAAGATGAAGGAGGACCTCCAGAGCACTGAAATGACCAGACCGCCCTGCACAGGGGCTAGCGCCATTCTGGAGAAACCCCCGAGGCAGAATTGGCCCAGCTCCCAGCTCAGCCCTGGCCTTTTGAGCTGCCCCCCACCAGCTGCACGGTCACTCACTGGTGATGTTACTGGTGCTCTTGCTGGGGGACACTCGGCTGCTGTCCTCCATGGCCACCTGCAGGCTCCCTGGGGGGCTCCCATTGTAGGAGGACGAGGATGAGGAAGAAGAGGAGGAAGAAGGAGAGCCATCCTCACTCAGGCTGGGCGGCATGCTCCCGAAGGAGCGAGCAGGGTCCTGCGTGAGGGAGCCGGTGGGCGAGGGTGGGAAGTAGGTGGTGAGGCCGCCTTGGGTCAGGGACTGGAAGCTGCCATTGGAGCTGTCGCTGTAGAGGGACTCAGGGCTGGTCCGGTTCGGGGAGGAGCTACTGGAGCCAATGTAGGTGATGACGCCACCTAGCAGAACACAGGAGAAGGGCGAGTCGGCCACCTTGTCTTTGATACGAGGGTACCACCGCGCTCATCCCCAAAACACTGCTCCTCTTACAAGTTAACCAGGTGGAACCCCTGGCCTTGGGGTTGATAAGCAACTCCCCAACACAGCCTAGACCTGGAATGGCCAATACAAGTACAATAAGTAACTCCCAGCACACGTTAGACAAGGCCACACCAACCTACTCACAAGTAACAGCCCAGCAAAGGCCAGTGACAGCACGGCCAACCCCACAGCCCCGTCTTGCACAGTACAGCAGCTTCTGCTTGGGCGTGAGGCATGAGCCCTGTAGTCACCTCACACCCTGTGCTCTGGATGCCCTCCTGGGGATGTCACAGTAATGACTTCGCTGTCAGCGGCAGAACGAGGGCTGTCTGGATGGGATGAGTAGCTAAGGTCCCACTCACTGGGCCCAGCCCTCCAAGAACAAGAATCTGCTGCCAGTTCTAACACCAAGACCATCCTAGGGACGAGACTGTGCACATGAATGGCTGGCCAACCACTAGCAAAGAGAGCAGATGTCTCACAAAGGAAACGTCGCTCCCTCCAGACTGGGAGACGCACTCTCAGGAGATACTGCAGGGAAGCTCCGCCTCGCTCTGCTGGACTCCAGGGGATGAGTCACAGAGGACTCTACCTCTGCCTCCGAGGAAGGGAGCAGCGGGCGCTGCAGGAGGAGGAGTCCAAACTGTCCAGCCTCCGGCCCCGGAATTCCCCTTTCCTGGTCTCAGCCTGGTGACAACTCCGGTTTTCTGGCCACTCAGGGACTTTGGCCCTCTGGGTACACTGCCAACC